ATTGCTAACAAGCAGACAGATTATGACTCCAATATCAATTCATCCATCCAACTTCCTCTTGTTCTGAAGTTGGGTCGTGGGGGCAGCAGTTTGAGCAGGGAGGTCCAGACATCTTTTTCCACAGCCACCTCTTCCAGCTCTTCTGGGAGGACTCCAAGGTGTTCCCAGGACAACTGGGAGACATAAGTTCATGCTCAATAATCCAAGTAAAAATCCAACAATGTTCAGTCAGGTCAACTGGACGGTTTCTTTTTTTTTTCTGAGACGTTTCATATTTCATCCAAAGGACTTCTTCAATTCTAAGGAGCCACCAAACAAATTGAGTCCCACAGTGGGAAAAAAAACAGTTTGCTGGTGATAAGATGGCCTCCGGGGTCCGCCCTCTCTCCCGTCAACTCCTCGGAGGCAGTCGTGCCAAAGTGGTTCAAAATTAGAGAGAGACATATTATCTCCAGCGTGTCCTGGTTCTTCCCCGGGGTCTCCTCCCAGTCGGATATGCCTGAACACCTCCCTAGGGACGCACCCAGGAAGCATCCTTACCAGAGTTTGTGGGTGTGGAACACTAGACTAGCTCTTTACCCTCACTAGGGTCCTTGAGGGGTCATGGGTGTTTGCCCATCCAGTGTATGTCTTTTGTGGACTTGGAGAAGGCGTTTGACCGTGTTTCTTGGGGTACACTGTGAGGGATGCTCCGTGAGTATGGGACTGGGGCCCATTGCTACAGGCTGTTTGGTCCCTTTACAAGTGATGCAGCAGTAAATCTGACCCCTCCAGGGAGAGAGTTTGACTCTGCCAAGGCTGCCCATTGTCACCGATTCTATTCATAACTTTTATTGACAGAATTTCTCGATGCAGCCAGGAGGCGGAGGTAGTCCGGTTCAGTGGCCTCAGGAGTCCATGTCTACTCTTTGTAGATGATGTGGTCCTGGCGTCATCATGCTGTGGTTTTCAACTCTCTCTGGAGCGGCTCACAGCCGAGTGTGAAGCGGCTGGGATGAGAATCAGCACCTCCAGATCTGAGGCCATGGTCCTGAACCAGAAAAGGGCGGATTGTTCTCTTCAGGTCGAGGGTGAGGTTCTGCCTCAAGTGGAGGAGTTCAAGTATCTCGGGGTTTTGTTCATGAATGAAGGAATAATGGAGCGTGAGCTTGACAGACGGATTGGTGCAGCATCTGTAGTGTTGCGGACTCTGTGCTGGTCCATTGTGGTGAAGAGAGAGCTGAGCTGTAAGGTGAAGCTCTCTTTTTACCAGTCGGTCTACGTTCCTACCCTCACTTAAGACCATGAACTCTGGGTAATGACTAAAAGAATGTGATTGCAGATACAGGCGGTTGACTCCAATAATGAAAGGCAAATAAAAAAAAAACTGATCTTGAGTGATCAGTTAGTGCTTAAAGATAATTCTCAGAAAACACCAGATTTTAGCTCAACACTTGTAAGATTTACTAAATTTGAGCCGTTTTGTGTTTGTTACAGTCACTTAGTTGTGGTGGCCATCTTGAATCAGATCAATCCCTAACATTAATTCACTGTAGAGGTTCATCCAATTTTTACTTTTTTGCAAGTTTCATGATTCAGCAGTGGTTCATGAGATATTTTGCTAACAGACAAACAAAAAGATAAACACACATGCATGGGCACACATACAGACAACAACATTATCATCCTTTAGCCTTCTGCTGGGACAAATATCAGGGGGCTTTATCTCATTGAATGGATAATTTTTAAACCCTAACGTGACGCGGTTATTTAAAAATCCTCTCAAAGATGTAAGACTTGAAAAAATATCCTCTTGGAATGATGTTTTTAATTATCTGTAAAGCAACAGAAGCCCATATTATAAAAGTGATGGACAAAAAACAGATTTCATTCACTTGTTAGTATTCCAATTATCATTCAATTATAAACAAGATGGAAGTTTACTGGTGCTGCACATTTCCAGTTTTACACTTTGCTTCACACAGTATGGAGCTTTCACTTGGATTAAACTTTGATTATCTTCTAATAGACACTTTGGAGGCAACGTGATAACTTAAATGTTAACTAGAAAACAATAACTGACCCACTTTTTAATGTGATTTCAGTGGGGACTATATTGCGCCGCGGAAGAATAGAATGGAATGCCTTTATTGTCATTTATAAACAAGTACAATGAGACAGAGAGCCACACCTTTTTTTAGTGCAAACATGCTTAAAACATACCTAAAAATATATAACTCAATCTAGATATAGCACTATGAAAGTAATAAACAAAAATTATTTCACAATTATATAAATTTGAATATTGGACATTATGGATGCTAGTGAGTTAATTAAAAGGTAAGGTAATTAAAAGTATGAAATGTCAGTAGTATTGCACAATAGAAGAATTAGAATCATATGCAGGCAAATGTATTTTCATGTTGCTTTTAAAAACAACTTTTGCAAAACACATAAACTAAAAGTAAAACAATAACTCATAAATATTGTGTCCACTATAATAAGAAGCCACCGGCACCTCTCGTGGTTTATTGCTTAATTAAATGACAAATCGGAGGATTGGTTTGCAGATTGCCTGAATTGACGTCAATTGGATTGGTTAGGTGACAGAGCTAAGCTCCGCCCCCCTGTGGGCCAAGGTAGAGAGGGAGGAGGGAGCAAGGGGGCTGAGCTGATCCCACGTGTGACGCTTTCATTCCCGGCTCAGTAATATTCTCATAGCGGGGCTTTGCATATCTCCTGCCCTATCTGTGTGTGTCTGTCACTGTTACTGTAGTTCCAGCCGCGATAGTTCGGACTAGATATGGAAGGAGACGGGAGTCAAGCCACGTCCGGAAGCCTAAACGACTCACAACATGACCCGGGGTAAGAACCTTCTTCTAAATTTAAACCCGAAGGTGCGTTTTCTTCTTGGAGAGGACTTCGGCTCTCTCCGCCGCGCTGGGTGCTCGTGTCCTCCTCAGCACTTCACCGGTCCGTTCCCAGTTTTTAAAGACAAGCTTCGAGAGAAGTGCCCCCCCCCCCTCTCTTTTTCCTCCTCAACCCCCCCTCCTTTTTTCATGTAGACACAATTCCTGACTCGCGAATGCGCTTTCATAGTCTTCCTTTGATCCTTTAAGGTCGCTTTTAGAAGTAGTTAGTCGTCAAAATGGCCGAACTGACATCTGGACTGACTTCTGTTGTGTTTTCTCCTCGCAGTAAAATGTTTATCGGCGGCCTCAGCTGGCAGACCTCACCAGGTGAGTGTTCTTCTCCTCGCATGTGTTCCGTTCGCTCGTTTGGCCGCCTGGCGCGCGTGTGAACGCATGTATGCACGTCTGAGGCGAGCGGTTGCACTGGCTGCGTGTGCTCTGGATGGGATATGTGCGCGCGCGGCGGCGGCGGCGGTTATTTTTGATCTCCGTCCATCTGAAGTCCTCTATTCGACCCCTATGCGCATCGCGCGGGGTCTGCGTGCTTGTTTTGTTGTTGTTTTTGTCTCTTTTCCTGTCTGTAAAAGCATATGTTTCTGTCAAATAATGACCCCCCCCCCCCCCCCCCCCCTCTTTTTTCCCGACATCTCTCTCTCTCTGTTTTCCACACAGACAGCCTTAGAGACTATTTTAGTAAATTCGGAGAAATCAGAGAATGTATGGTGATGAGAGACCCCACGACGAAACGCTCAAGGTAAATAAATACGGGGCTCCCCCCGCCCCCCCTCCCCTCCTACTTTTGCCTTCCAGTGCTCGTATCGCTTTACTTTCGCCGTGTTTAGTGTTTAATCCAAGGCGCGCGCGCGTGTCCCCGTGCGCGCGCTCGCCCGCGTGTGGTTTCTCAGCAAGCCAGATAAGCTTTAAATGCGCGCTGCTGTAAAGCTGCGGCCGCATGCAATTTGACATTGACTTTGTGACTGCAGCGCGGTGTCTGCGCGCGCGGCGTCGTGCTCGCACGCGCGCACTCTCAACACGCCGAGGATCGATCCTCCCGCGTGTCCTCTGTGTCTGCTTATGACACATTTGTAAAGGAACACAACGCCAGCAATAATAAGGTCACGTTGCAGAAGCTTTATTAGAAGTTGCTGCAATGTTTCCAACACAAAGTGTGTGCGCGTGTGCGTTTTTAACACTCCTTGTCTGTTTTCTTTCTCTCTTGCAGAGGATTTGGGTTTGTTACGTTTACAGACGCTGCCAGCGTAGATAAAGTCTTAGCTCAACAGCACCACGAGTTAGACTCAAAGACGGTGAGTTAATGTTATCTGCACTTATGTAAGAGTTTATTCATGTTCTGTCCCTCTGCTCAGCTGTGACTTTTGCACACCCATGTCCCGGCGTTGGGCAAACTCCAGTTAAGGTGAACAGTCCGTCAAAGTCTAAATGCAAGTTCACAAATAATAATAATAATAAGAAGAACAGGCCTTCACTTCAGGTTGACTGTTATATTTCACTTTTACTTCTGCAGTTGAGTGAGGCTGACACGCCCCCTCTTCTGTGCTGCTGCCACATGTGCAGCGTGCACATATCTCATGTGGACACAGAAGGGCGTGCTGTCTCAGGACTGCTGCCTGGCGTCTGTTTGACCCAGCAGATATTGGACTGGATCGCTGCCGCTGCGCTGATAGTGCAAGCGGAGGAGAAACGTGGGCTTAAAACCATAACCGTCTCCACACACATCGCCGTCAACTTTCAGACTTCTCTAATTCCCACTAATCTGAGCCCAGTCCGTATGATCAATATGTTCAAACCAATTAAATGATTTATTACACAGCTACAGCGCAAGCAATCGGGGTAAATAGTTGCCGCCGTTCAAATCCACAAATATCCACATGCTGACATAAACTGAAGAATGTTTGGTGTGGTCTTCTTGAAGTTTGTAAGCAGATGAATAATTAAATGAGCTCTTCATATTGTGAGAGATATTTACACTGATGGATTAGATAGGATGCAGCCGGAGTTATATTTATCTGTAAAATCCAGATGTTCCGGCGTAATTTATTCAAATGCAGTGCACATGCGAACGATATCTGAAGAAATATATCTTAAAGATTATAAAAGGATTAGAGTCCAGGTAATCTGTGCAGGATAGTACAACTAAATGTATGTTTCTTATTGCGGTGTCCTTGAGCTTCAGTGTGTGTTGGCTTGTTGTTTGCTGGACAGCAGATGTTTTAGTTCTTTTAACGGAAAGGTTTGTATTAAGGCGGCTGCCCCCTTATTTATTTTTTTTTACTGGCAAGCTATGACCTTTCCGGCTGGTCTAGCTCAGTGTTGGAGGCTTTCTCCACTTTAGTGTTTCTGCTAGTCTACGACTGAGTAATTACCTTTTTTTTTTAAACAGGAAGCAATGCACGCTTTTCTATTATTGCAAATAAAAGTGCAAATTCATATTGGGGAGCAATTGCTCTCGTCATATCGTTCCTGTTACTGCTCTGAGTCCACCTCCGGTGTCTCACCTGTGTTTAGTGTCCCTGCGTAGATACGTTGTATTTGTTATGTCCTCAGCCGTATCAGCTCTATTACTGTGTTATGGGAATACGGGTGATAAGACCATGCAGTGGCTTCATTTTCTGCAGTGAATATGGAGGGAAGGCAAGGTGAAATGACCAATAAGTAAAGCTAACAGCGTCGCAGAAAACTCCCGGGCTTCCATACAGGCTGCTGGAGCCGTGGTAACGATTCAGACCCACTTTGAATCTGGAGCGGTTTGATAACTTCCCAGTTTGACATTTTGAATGAACAGCTTTGTGACAGTTTGACAGCATATATACTTACAGCAAAAGGTCGATGGGAGGGTGTGTAAGTGAGGGAGGGCGACGTATAAAAATACCCTCACACCTGAGCCGCGGCCTGAGCGGGTGGGGGTTCTGCGGTCTCGTTCACTGATGCTTGATAGAGCGGCCGTTGATTTGTTGCCTTGCCCGGAGGCACCCGTCGAACACTGGCAGTAGGAAACGGTTAAATTCCTGGTGTTGTTTTAATTAGTCTGTTAAGATATTCATTGGATTACACTGATGACCTGCTAACACCAACAGTCTCAAAGCAAGTGTTTTTTTCTCTTACACCTATTGATTGCTGAATTCTGCTTGCATCAGTAAAAAAACATCCTTATTTTGTTTTTAGCAATGCGGATTCTAAATACTGCCTTGGCAAAATATTAGTAACTTTTATTAAGAGATACTATGGCATGCTTAAACTACCCCGCAGCCACGATGGAAAGACACAGCTTCAGTCAGTTTTTCATCAACTGATGCGATCTCACCTGTTTTAGGCTTCAGGGCGTATTTGGCAGACATGTGTCCTACGTTTTAGATATGACACCTTGAGAGCCGAACAAAGACATTTTAACGTTTTACATCAAATCTTCATTGGCAATGAAGTCACAAAGTTCTGCAGCCACTCACACGTAAAGCTTATTGTGAAGTTTACAGTGCAGTTGTTTTCTTTCATTTTATTTATTATTATCACTATGTCAGTTTTTTCTTCCCTACGTTAAAATCAATGCATTTTTATTCTGACATACTAGCTGATAATAAATAGATTGCACTTGAAATCTCTTTAACTTTTCATACTTTGGCTTAGTTTTTAATGACCACAAGCTAAAGCGTTATAGAGTGTAATGTTTACAGAAATTTAAAGCCAAGTTACATTTTCATAGCCATGAATATTATCATTACATTCACAAACCAAATTTAAATTTGAAGCCCAGATAATGACAAGGTTAACTAGAGAAACTGCATTTCCTGCTTACTGCAGAACTTTGCTGAAAAACAGCTGAAATTAGTTAAAACATGCTGAAACGGAAGAACAAGCCTAAGTTAGTAGAAGGAAGCAAAAGGAACACATATTTGCTGAATTAGGTTTAAATGAGCAGAAATTAACATAAAAATTAGGACATTTGTTAAATAAGCTGAAATTAGGCAAAAGTAGCTGAAAAGTAGCTGAAGAAGCATAAAGAAGTTTAAACTACCAGAAGGAAGCAAACAGAGCTGAAATGAGCCCCCAAAATTTAGATTTATTTGAAAAAGATTAAATTAGCATAAAACAGCTAAATAGTTTCAGAGGTAGGAGGAAAAAATATGAAACTAGCAGAAATAACTCGAATGGAGCTTAACAACCTTAAATTAGTGGAGAATAGTTAATTAGGCTGAAAGTTGCAGAAATTACCACAAAAAACTCGAATTTATCTGAAAACAGCCGAAATTAGCCACAAAAAAAAAAAAAAAAAGTAGCTGAATAGGTAGAAGAAGCTTAAATTAGCAGAAGAAAGCAGGAAGAACATGTTTGCCCATTTAGGTTGAAAGAAGCCAAAAGGAGTACAAAAAGTGGAAATTATCTGAAAAAAGCAGAAATTAAAAAACAGCTGAAAAGTAGCTATAAAAAGCAGAAAAAAAAGTTAAATTACCAGAAGGAAGTAAAGAGAGCACTTTTTTTCTGAATTAGGATGAAAAAAAGTTGAAATGAGTGCAAAAAATGTGGAATTAGCAAAAAAAAAAAAAAGCTAAAATTAGCATAAAATGGCTAAATTGTAGCTGAAATAGCAAAAATGGCTGAAACTTGCATAATCAATCAACCTTTATTTATACAGGTAAATCCCATTGAGCCTCGAGGACTCATTTACAAGAGAGACCTGATTTCAACAAAGAAAGATGACAACAATGGACAACAGCAACAACAATAAGCAGTTATAAAAAACTCATACTACAGTTTTTTTTTTTTTTTTTTTTTTTTAACAAATAGGATGGCTAAAAGGAAAAAGGTAACAAAACAAACAAAAAAAAAAACAGCTAGATTCCAAGACAAATGTATAAAACTAAAAACAGGAACATGTCTGCATTGGACCCCGCCAGGAGTCCAACAGATTCTTAAAGCCACTTAGAGAGGTCAGCTTCAGCTGAAATTAGCTGAAATAAGTTAGAAGCACAGAAATGTTGTAGTTAGCAGAAAGAATCTAAAAATGATCACAAGAAAGCTGAAATAACAGCTGAAATTAGCTGCAAGTAGCTGATTTTTAAAAAAAAATTTACACAAGGAAGCGAAAGAAGCTAAAGCATAACAAGATGTGAAAGGAGCAGTAAAAGGTTGTAAATAGATCTGAAGAGTTGAAGGATGTAAAATGATCTCAATTCATTTCCTACGATAAAAAGAAATGTCAGAAAAGGCTAAATATTTCAAAAAGCTAAAGTTGCACCAATAACAAAAGTCATAGCAGGATTGTCCTGGAAGAGCTGAACTTTTTGATATCTTCATGATCAAGTTGTTGAAAAAGCACAACAATAGTGAACTGAGAAAGAGGCCGAAAAGCATACGAAAGAAAAATGGATCTCAATAGTGTGAATGCTTCATAAATGTTCACACAATCAGTGACTTCAGCTTTAGAACCAACCTAAAGCACCGTGTTTATTTTTAATTTGATGACCATTTTTTTAAACAAGTGCATATCAGTGCCTTTAACAAACAGACGTTTGATCAAATATTTGCTGTAATTTTATCTTTTCCTATTTGCTAGTGCACAGTTGTTCTCCCATAAGCCTGCAGCAAAAGATTTCTGACGTAAAGTAGCTGTTTGTGTTGCCTTTCTCACTGTTTGTCACCAGGCTTTATCAGCTGTGCTGTTTTGTGCCTTAACGCTCACACTATCAAGATCGCGCTGCGTTCAGATCTATCATATCTTTTATAAAGTTGCAAAGCAGTGGGGGGAAAAATGAATCGGGTTAGCAAAATGTGGATGGTTCTTGATGTGCTTGCAGATGTTGATTTGATGCAAGTCTTCTACTTTTATGGCGCTTGGATAAATCCTTATACGTTCCTTTGTCCTGTGTAACCTTGAACAAAGTGAGCGGCTGGAGGTGATACGACTGTGGACAAGTTGAGTCACGACTTTATGGCATATAGTTACTTTTAATAAAATTATTCTGGTCATTGTGAATAAATCTACAAAACTTTTAGATTTTAATAAATCTAAAGTTCGGTTTTGAAGTTTCCTTTTTTTTTAAAAAGCCTAAAAATGTATTGAACCATAATAAAAATAAGTTAAAGTAGAAAACGTTGGTTTGGAAAAGACAGTTTTAGACCTTTCTTTTTTGAGTTTGATGAATTACAAATAACCAATTGTGAATGTTTTTTCGGCTTTACAGCGGATAAAGCGAAGGGAATTGTGAAAAATTTTATTTCACAGTGTAGAAGACAGAAGAGTGGTCTGAAAGCATCAGAAATACTATTATCAACAACAGCAACAACAACAAAA